TGTGTGTGAAGGCCAGGTAAGACTCATATTTTAAGCAATGTGAATATACTTATGTTATCCAAACACATTTCAATAGTTTCGTCATAGACTGATTTTTTTTTTATGCTCCATTCATTCAGTATTTCAATTCACCGCATACAACATGTAAAATATCTGCATCAGCTGTCATTAAATAGGATTGCATATAAAAAACTATAAGCTTACCCCCAACACACAAAGATTCTGATCACAGAAACCTACTGAAGAACAAGTCAAGTCCATTTCTTGTTTGTATTTCCCAACACATCTAAAAAGCTGGTCTGTGTATTCTGAGATGTATTCACAGTTTAGGTTTGCATTTAGTTAAAATGAATATTAGGGCCACTAAATAGTTGTTTAGAAATAATATTTATTAATTAACATGAGAATTTCCTGCTTTGTTTTAGGCGGAGAGTTGGTTGGGGCTTTTGGAGGAAGCTATGAAATCAACAGTACGTCAGGAAATCATGGATGCTGTAGCAGGGTATGAGGATAAGTTGCGGGACCAATGGCTGTTTGATTACTCTGCCCAAGTTGCCCTAACTGCTAGTCAGATCTGGTGGGCAACCGATGTGGAAATTGCCTTTGAGAGATTTGAAGAAGGCTTTGAGAATGCCTTGAAGGATTATAACCGCAAACAGGTAATAATTATATATAAAGCCACAAATTATTTTTTTTCTACATAACACTCTGTATTTTATTATCTTTAATCAATACATTGTGACAAGGCTGAATGAGTTTGAAACTTACATTTTTTCTTTAAAGTGTTACTAAACCCTCAACAGTAAAAAAAAGTCTGTATTTGCAGTAAAGCATGCTTGTTATACTCACTGTGGAACCTAAGGGGTTAATTCTCTGCATTGTGTAAAAACGCAGTTTGATACTGACTTCTCTGATCCCCCTCTTCTTCCAGTGTCCCCCTCTTATCTCCTGATAAGACATATTGTGTGGAGTCACTCTGCACATGCTCAGTTTGGTGTGTATTGCTAGAGAGTTTTTTTTTTCTTGGGAGAATGCATGTGATCAGCACTGTCCAGACAGAGGTCAGGGGTTCTGCATCCTCCTAAAGCAAAATGAAAACTCCTCCTACAAGCTTTAACCAGTACTCAGCTGGACACTGATAGAAGTCACAAGACTGCTCTAACTGCTTATGAGAAAAGGTATTAACAGTTTATATTTACTAAAATAATTGCACTTCTATGTTGTGTGTACTGTGGGAGACCAGATATAGTGAATGCAGGCCCAGGGTCCTGGGTTTAGTAACACTTTAAATCAAACCTGTTGGTTACATTCAAGTTTCTTAAAAATAAAGTGTATCCTAAGGTGCAGGCATCACAATCAGTAAATCCTCCTCTGTATTCCCAAGGAGCTCCCAAATTCTAGGCATACTCTTTTACTGCTAAATAAAATGATCTGCCAATTTAGCTTTAGCCACATCCCTGCATTATATAGCCATCCTATGATAGTGCCTAAGTGTCTACTATATATAATATTGATGTTCTGATTGCTTTGTGTAATGGTAGCCAACAGGTCACAACTCTGGAATAGAAGCTGAAGTGGAGGCTTAATTTTATTTATTGCTCAGCATCAGGGGTTAACTGGCCTCCATCTTCATTTTGGATGGAGTACTGAGGGGTTAAAGTCCCCATCAGGTTTTTAATACTATTTGGAGATTTACTCTCTTGGTTTCTTTTGGTGACCATTGAAAATCCAAAACTGGAGTTTTCCTTTTTTTCTCTGCAAAATACAATTTAAAAAAAGTTTTGGGTTTAGACGTACTTTGTCGCTCTGAAAAATGTGCTTAACTTTTTCTTGCCATTTAAATTGTATAACTGTACAAATGATAGATTTATCCTACCATTTATCAAAACATTTTTAGAATATATACAATATCATCTTGTTCTCTAGAATATCACAAATGTTCAGTAACGGGTAAAACAAAAGTTTGGAGTTTTAAGTTGCTAACTGCATAAAGTAACACCAGTGGCAACTCTGTAGTACAAGTCAAATAAAATAGGCTCTAGACCCCTTTCATAATATTGTACAATAGCTCCACTCCATTGATATATTCCAACTAATGGACTCAAATAATATATATTTGCATAGCACAGCAAGGGATTATGGGCAATGGAATGCAAATTATCCCACATCCAGCATCACTTTTAAACACCGGCCATTTTTAAAAGCCTTCGCTCTATACCTTAACATAGGAAAATGGATGAAAATTAGTCACTTTGACCTAAATGTTGTAAGAGAAAAGTTCTCAGGTCTAAAACCCCAAATATGTATAATTATTTGCATACTTAAATTCCTTTTTTTTTCTTAAAGTGAAATGCGCTAGTTAATGGCATGATTTTGAAAAGTTGTTTGTTTTGATGGGAACAACAATGCATGTCTTGTCAAAGGCACGATACATTTCACAGATGCATTTAGCACTTTATGCATGATAGATTTTATTCTACTGAGTTTAATATCTCATCTGAATATAATTATTTTGCAGATTGCTCAGCTGAATGCCCTTATAAACATGCTGTTAGGGGAACTTACCCCCGGGGTGCGTCAGAAGATCATGACAATATGCACAATTGATGTTCATGCGAGAGATGTGGTAGCCAAGCTTATTGCACAGAAGGTAATTTAATGCAGAGCAATTACCCTAATGCATTTTTAAAAGCATGAAATAAAGAATAATTTCATTTGTTGAAAAGCTCGCCCCTGCCTATGTGTAAAAGTGACAGAATGTTTTGATGGAGTAATTTTTTTTTTTTGTTACATTCCTACATTCACATCTAGACAATTATATTTATGACTTCAAGAATTGGCAAATTTTCACAGAAAAAAAAAAAAAGAATTGTCTAAATGTTTAAGGATTATGCCAGTAATTGGATTTGCAACTTTTTAACATGACAGCCGTATTCATTTTTGCTTCTGTGACATTGTTCTGGAAAACAATTCCTGTTAATAAATACATTTCTTAACTTAAGACAAGGAAAGCAAGTTACTTCATTTGCTTACATATAAAGTTATTTTATAATTTGTCATATTGCACAAGTGCTTAATGGAATTTCAGTCTTAGAATAATGGTTGTATAATAACTAAACCACTGGTTGCTATTATGATCAAAAACGAGTCTCAAGACTTGGGTTGCTCCATTTTTCCTCGACATTTCTCCCATATGCAAGCAGATATTCACATAGCATTCAGATCTTTAAATACACTCCTAAAAAAACAAAGTTTTTTCATATAGTTGCATAGCCTTGACTCATAATATCTCATTTCTAACAAGTGATTTAGGCAAGTTTCTCCACAGCTAAAATAAGAGTAATCTATGATTACTATGATGATTTAAAGTGAGTTTGCAAATTTGATTTTAGGGTCTCCAACCTTTTTACCAACACACTGATTATGCAGAATTCTATTCTATTAGGTCTATTGTGTCCTAACTTGAAACAACGTAAACATTTGAGTCAACTAGAAATGAATGAATAAAATAAAATCTGCTTTAACCGCTTTAGGACCTCACTATAGTAAATTTACTGCTACAGGGCCGCCCCTGTGCACAGGATCACATATATATACGTGATTTTGCATTTGCGGGTAGGGGGTGCGCTCGAGCCACGTCGCGATCGCGGCCCCGGGTGTCAATCACCGGGTCCCGGCCTGTATTTACCAGCCGCTGCCCGTGATTAGCAGCGATCACCAATAGGGAGGAGGGCTGCATTGTTTACCAACAGCCCTCCTCCCTGTCAGTTTGGGCACACTGCTCTGGATGGCTGAGCACAGCCATCCAGAGCAGTGTGCTTACAGTGACGCACCCCCCCCGCCCCCTAGAAAAACACTCCCATCACACAGTTAACCCTTTGATCGTCCCTCATTGTTAACCCCTACCTGCCCAGTGCCATTAGTACAGTGTCAGTGCTTTTTTTTAGCACTGATCACTGTATTGGTGACACTGGGGATGTCAGTGACACCAAGTCAGTTCCCCCAGGGTCAGAATGCCCTCCGCAGTACCACTATAAGTCGCTTATCGCTGCCCTAACTCGCTGATCGATGCCATTATTAGTATCAAAAAGAAAATTCCAGTATCTACACCGTAATTTGTAAACGCTATAACTTTCACATAAACCAATTAATTTACACATATTGGGATTTTGTTTAGCAAAGACATGTCGCAGAATACATTTTGGCCTAAAGTTATGACAAAATTTGATTTTTAAATTTTTTACTGGATGTGTTTCATAGCAAAAAGTCCAAAATATTGTTTTGTTTCTCAAATTTGTCAATCTTTTTTTAATAGCGCAAAATAAAAAAAAAACGCACAGGTGATCAAATACCACCAAAAGAAAGCTCAATTCGTGTGAAAAAAAGGATTTAAATTTTATTTGGTTGTAGCGTTGCCTGACCGCACAATTGTCAGTTAAAGTAACGCAGCACCGTGATGCAAACCACTTCTTTAACTGCTTCCTGACCTCCCTATAGCAGAAGTACTGCTACAGGGTGGTACGGGTGCACAAAATCACACACATATATATATATATATATATATATATATATATATATATATATATACAGTATATATACGTCATTTACGCTCGTGTGGTTTTCACGCCCCTCCCAGATAGCCCCTCCTAGATCAGATTGCCGGTCAGTACAGCAGTAATCACATTTAACCCCTTGACTGCCAGGAACACGCTCATACACGATAAACCTCCATTGCTAGTATAGTGTCTGAACGGATCAATATCTTTGATCAGATCAGCACTATACCAGTGTTCACATTAGTATAATGTCCCCAAAAACACAGCATTAGCGGGATCAGCCCCGGTACCTGCCAGCACCTGCATTTAGCCCGTACGCTTACCCCCCCCTCTTCCCCAGCAAGTGCAGTGTCAGTAGGTCACTGTCACTTGATACATTGCACACAAAACTGCACTGTTCGCAGAATCAGGCCTGATCTCTGCTAGCACTTGCCGGTAAATTTTGATGACTCTCATATGCAGCAGAGTGCCAGTACTAGTGCCGCTCTACCTTTTGGTAAACTGGTGAGCACCAGCGGCCTAGTATATCCTGTTCTTTCACATACCAGCACTTCAGTATCACTTGGTGACGTGGCAAGTCCCACAAGTACAGTACAAGCTACTGCGGTGGCGAGCACAAGTATTGTCCTGCAACCATCAAGAATTCGAACACAGGCCCATAGAGCCCCTAGTATCCTTCCGGATGTGCTTGCAAATCCCTATTGGCAGCCCACAAATTCTGCAGCACCCGTACTTCCCCCATTCACTGCCAAACCCGGAATTCAGGTGGAAAGTGAAGTGGCCTACAGGATTTTGAGTATGTCAGATGAGAGCGAAGAGGAAGCCTCACTGACAGAATCAGGCTCAGAATATGAACCTGTAGAGAGCAGTGGCACCCTGACAGATAGTTCAGACGATGGAGTAGAGGTCCCTACTAAGGTCAGGTGTACCCAACCCTGTTCCCAGGTTGCTGAGGTGTTGTTACAATTGCATGAGGATTCTCATATGCAGCAGAATGCCGATACTAGTGCCGCTCTACCTTTTAGTGAACTGGCAAGCACCAGCGGCCTAGTACATGCAGGCCTTTACATACCAGCACTGCAATATCACTGGGTGACGTGGAGAGTCCCACAAGTGCAGTACAAGCTGGTGAGGTGGCTAACACAAATAGTGTCCCTCAGCCACCAAGAATTTGAAGACAGGCCTATAGAGCCCCTAGTGTCCTTCCGGATGTGCTTGCAAACCCTTATTAGCAGCCCACAAATTCTCCAGCAACCGTACTTCCCTCATTCACTGCCCAAACCAGAATTTAGGTGGAAACAGCAATTTTAACTACTCCCCTTGATGTTTTGGAGCTGTTTTTCACAGAAGATCTTTGATTGTGGATCAAAGCAATTTATATGCACAACAATTTAAACCTTGGCAGACCATTCGCACGGAAACCCATTATGATTTCTGAATTTTAATTTTTTTGGGTCTAACCCTCAACATGGGCCTTACTAAAAAAAATGAATTGCGGTTGTATTGGCCCACGACCCGATTCATCATATGCCTATGTTCTCTGCTGCCATGGCCAGGCATAGATATGAGAGTATAATGTGTTTTATGCATTTCAACGACAATACACTCTTTCGTCCTCGGGGTGACCCTGAATTTGTCCAGCTCCACAAAATTCGGCCTCTCGTAAATCACCTTAACCAAAACATTTGCAGATGTCTATACTCCCCAGCAAAAAATCTGTGTTGATGAGTCCCTCATTAATCTTTCTGGTCGTCTTGCATTCAAACAATTTTTCCCCAGAAAGCATACCAGATATGGGGTCAAGATGTATAAGACCTGTGAGAGGGCAACAGGCTATACATATAAGTTTCGGATTTACGAGGGAAAAGATAGTCACGTGGAGCCCCTCGAGATGCCCAGACTACATGGGGAGCAGTGGCAAGATAGTTTGGGACTTGGTGTCATCCTTTTTCCATATGGGGTACCACTTATACGTGGACAAGTTTTATTCAAGCATGCCACTATTTAGACATTTGTACAATCCTGGAATTGGCGCATGTGGCACTGTGCGACATAATGTGTGCCCACCATTAAAAGTGGGTGGATGCAGGGCGCGATATTCTAATGGTGGGCATACCACACACTTTTTCTGGCAGAGATTTATTCTCTTTTTTTTCATTCAGCTCACAGGCTACATACAAAAAAAAGAACATAGCATATATGCCCAACAAGGACCAGCAACATACTGGTACATCTCTGGACTTTGAATGGTTATATGGATACGGATGCTATGAGCATTTCATGACTTCACTTTCGCACTATATAAACAGCGCCATTTGTAAATTGGGAAAGCATCTTGGTGAGATTAGATAATGTAAGGGCAGAGGAGATATCTAGAGTCTAATAGAACCCATATTTCTCAAAAAAGAATATATGACAATGCCCATTGAAGTTATAGGAGATATTTGCATTCCCTGTGACAGCATTAAAAGTGATAAAAAAAATATGAAAGGGAGTGTAAAAATAATTAAAAAAATCAAAATAACTTTAAAAAAAACTGAAAATAGCACCCTCACCCCACCCCTCACGCTCATGCACCTGCATGTGCGAGCATTGACCCTATGTAAACAGTTGTTGCACCATGCATGTGAGGTATTGCCGCAAACGTCAGATCAAGGGCAGTAATTTTTAGCACTAGACTTCCTCTGTAAATCTAAAATGGTAGCTTGTAAAGGCTTTTAAAGGGTTGCCTATGGATATTAAAAATGTGTGCAGTTTGTCGCCACTGCACGGGGCATGCGCAGTTTTAAAGCATGTCATGTTTGGTATCTATTTACTCGGCATACCATCATCTTTTATATTTTACTAAATAATTGGCCAATATTTTTGGTTTATAGCATGAAAAATAAAAAGCGCACAGGTGATCAAATACCACTGAAAGAAAACTCTATTTGTATGAAAAAAGGGACGTAAATTTCATTTATGTACTGTATTGCATGACTGCGCAATTGTCAAACTAGTGCAGCGCTGTATAGCACAAAAATAGCGTAAATTGCAGTATCTATACCATAATTTATAGACGCTATAACTTTCACACAAAGCAATCAATATATACCTTATTGGGATTTTTTTTTTTACCAAAAACATGTAGCAGAATACATTTGGCCTAAATTTATAACTAACTTTGAGTTTACTATATATTTTTTATAGCCAAAAGTAAAAAATATTGTTTGTCTTCAAAATCCTCGGTCTTTTTTTGTTTATAGTGCGAAAAATAAAAAGCGCACAGGTGATCAAATACCACCAAAAGAAAGCTCTATTTGTGTGAAAAAAAGGTTGTAACTTTTGTTTGGGTACAGCATTGCCTGACCAGATAATTATCAGTTGAAATAGTAGTGCAGCGCCGAATAGCAAAAAGAGGTCTGGTCATTAAGGGAGGTAAATCCTCAGGATGGCAAGTGGTTAAAGGGTAATAAGAAAAATACAACTGCGATTAATAGGAAATTGGTCAGAACTTGTCCAAGGGACCTCTGACTAGTCCTTTATGGAGCAGACTAATAATGCCCCCTTCTCCCCCCAAACAGCCACCTATTGACCAGCATTCCATTACTACTTATGGCTGGAAACCTGTGTCCAGTGGCAGTCTACAGTCAGAGAATCAATGTGTTACAAAACAATGTGTTAAAAATGTTTGTCGTTATATCATTTTTGACCCATATTTTTTTGGATGGCAGCGAATAAAGACATGGCTAGGGGAAGTCCCCTTGCACACGAACGGACTGGTTAGGTCCGCCTGTCAGGTTTTTAGGCAGACCTGATTGGACCCTCTTAGTTTCCTCTATGGATCAGTGGGTATAAACGGACATGTGTCCGATCCGTTCCCCATCTGTCTAGTGGATTGGATGGAAGTAGGTTGTAAACAAACAAGGTGGTCCATTTACATCCGACCACCCACCAGGTGAGTGGGCTGTGTCTGTGTCCACTCTGCATAAGTAGCCATCAGCCTGCTCAGTGGGGATCAGTGGACAGGGTCTGCTCCAGTATGGCCTAAAGCTGGGTATGCATGATCTGTATATTGGCCGGTTCAGCAGGAACCATTCGGGCCATTTGTACAGCTGTCCTTCAGACAGAAGCCAGTATAACTCTGCTAAGTGCAAATGTTTTTTTTTCTTTAAAGCTTTATTTATATTGAAAACAAGGAAATTGACAATTGAACATACAGAAAATGTTTTATTTATTTAGTTTTGTAAATTGTATTTATACAATTGAACATAACAACTCCCCCCCCCCCAAAAAAAAACACTCAAAAACTGCAGCTGTTGAAAAAAAATACAATGTCACAAGGGGTTAAAAACAATCGTTGGCACATACAAATAATAATTGGTACATAAACGTAAGCCATTCATTTATGAATGCATTTGAGTATCTATGATTGCAAATGGGATGTGCTTAACCACTTGCCCTGGAAGATTTACCCCCTTTCTTGACCAGGCCATTTTGTGCTATTCAGCGCTGTGCTATTTCAACTGATAATTGCACGGTCGTGCAATGCTGTACCCAAACAAAATTTATGTCCTTTTTTCACACAAATAGAGCTTTATTTTGGTGGTATTTGATCACCTCTGGGTTTTTATATTCTTTGTGCTTTAAACAAAAACAAAAAAAAAAACTTTCTAATTTCTGTTATAAAAAATATCCAATAAACTCAAATTTCGTCATACATTTAGGTCAAAATGTATTTTGCTATATGGCTTTGACAAACAATATCTCAATCAGTGTATATTAATTGGTTTATGTGAAAGTAAGAGCATCTACAATGACTGGCATAGTACCACTGGATTGGCTTAAGACCAATGTGGTGCCAATATTTAAAAAGGGGTCAAAATCTTTACCAAGTAATTACAGACCTGTTAGTTTAACTTCTATAGTTGGGAAGATACTGGAAAGTTTAATAAAAGACCACATAGATGAGTTCTTGCTGGAAAAAAATATTTTAAGCAACAGACAGCATAGATTCATGAAAGACAGAAGTTGTCAAACAAATCTGATTTCTTTTTATGAGGGGGAGAGCAAAACCTTGGACAGAGGGGTGGCAGTGGACGTGGTATACTTGAATTTTGCAAAAGCGTTTGACACAGTTCCCCACACATGGCTAATTTGTAAGGTAAAGTCTACAGGCTTGGAAAAATCCATATGTAAATGGATCGAAAACTGTCTAAAAGATTGTATTTAGAGAGTAGTAGTTAATGATTCATACTCTGAATGGTCTGGGGTCATCAGTGGTGTACCCCAGGGTTCAGTGTTGGGACCCTTACTTTTTAATATATTTATAAACTATATAGGGTCTGAGATTAAAAATCCAATTTCAGTCTTTGCAGATGACACCAATCTGTGCAGTGGAATAACGTCCTTACAGGATGTCTTCAACTTACAAGCCGACCTCAATGCACTGTTTAATTGGGAAACTATGTGGCAAATGAGATTTAATGTTGATAAATGTAAGGTTATGCACTTGGGGGCTAAGAATATGCATGCATAATACATACTAGGGGGGGTACAACTGGGGGAATCAATGGTGGAGAAGGATCTGGGGGTTCTGGTAGATCACAAGCTTAATAATGGCATGCAATGCCAAGCTGCGGCTTCTAATGCGAGCAAAATCGTCTCTTGTATTAAAAGAGGTATAGACTCCAGAGAGAGAGATATCATATTACCCCGGTACAAATCATTAGAAAGACCTCATCTGGAATATGCAGTTCAGTTTTGGGCACCTATTCACAAAAACTTGAACTTGAGAAAGTACAGAGAAGGGCAACCAAACTGATACGAGGCATGGAGGAGATCAGCTATGAGGAAAGATTAGAGGAACTAAATGTATTCTTTCTTGAGAAGAGGAGATTAAGGGGGGATATGATCAACATGTATAAATACATCAGTGGTTCATATAGTGAACTCGGTGTAGAGCTGTTCACCTTGAGGTCAACACAGAGGACAAGGGGGCACTCTTTACGTCTGGAAGAAAAGAAAGTTAATCTCCAAACACGGAAAGGTTTCTTCACAGTGAGAGCTGTGAAAATGTGGAATAGACTCCCTCAAGAGTTGGTCCTGGCCAGCTCAGTGGATTGCTTCAAAAAAAGGACTTTATTTCTTAGATACAAAGAATATAACTGGATACTAACATTTATAGGTAAAATTGATCCAGGGAATATCTGATTGCCTCTCGGGGGATCAGGAAGGAATTTTTTTCCCCAGCAGGTGCAAATTGGATCATGCTTTGCTGGGTTTTTTGCCTTGCTCTGTATCAACTGTGGGTATAGGATTAAAACTTTTTTTTTCTATGGTTGAACTAGATAGTCTTTTG